GGGGGGTCAAGAAAAGAAACCAACACGGAATTGCAACAGAACGACCAGCAAGATGAGAGCAGCACCAAGAGAGTGTGGTGTCCTGTGGCCAAATGAAGAAAGTGGATCAAGGTTGCTGGCTTATACCATTGGAAGCCAAACAGGGAACCACTGGAAAAGGACATTTGTGAAGGTAAAAATCATGAGCGTGGTTTAAAATATGTTAGGGTACATTATCATAAATAAGGAGAGGAACAGTAAACGGTAATTTAAAAAGCCTGAGTTTGGCTTCTAATCCTTTGTTTGCTCTGGGATGTTGTCATTTCACCTTTCTAAGCCTCAATCTCCTTTTCTACAACGGGAGGATAATATGTATACAACTGACCACAAATGGTTGCTATGTGGATCAAGTGAGACAGAGTAAGAAAGACAACTTCAAACTCTTACGAAGACATAAAGGAAAGTCACAGGAATTTTAAGATGCAGAAGTTAGATTTAATCTTTGTAAGACAGAAAAGAACACTGAAATCAAGCCTATCATGAGTCAATCATTCATCATATACCTCCAGCAGCACCACTCAGCCGTGCCCCGTGGAATTCCTATTAGTTATACACAACAAACTCTACTTGTTCCTAACGTTTTCGTCAAACACCAATGCACCCTCCTCACCCAACTGAAACTTGACTTATCCCTGAAGACACCACTTACCTTGATGCCAATCATAATGACGTGTTGTGCTCCAAACACGCCTTGCTCGTAAAAATGTCCCTGTTTTTGCACATATGCTATTTCCTTGGCATGGAGGTCCTTCCTCCATCTGATTCTCTAACCAAATTCTAACTCTCCACGGAGGACTGCACGGCCGTCTGCATCACAAAGGCTTCCACGAGCCCTCACCTGTCCTTCAGAACCAGCACAGCACAGAACCCACACCTCTCAGCTCCCTCACTCTGCTCTAACCTGCATTGCACATTTTGCATACAAGCCTTATATTTCGAAACAGACTTCAAGTTGGGTTCATCTTCGCATGTTGAGCTTTTGTATCAGCTGGCGCTCCTACAACGTCTACTGCGAACGTGCACTCAATGAGCCCGACCTGCTGAAGCTACTACGTCTTACAGGATGTTGCCGTACTCACATTTCTTACTCTGCTTTTCCACTTCCGCCTTCAGTCTCTTGTACTTGTCTGTCCTGTAAACCAGGACCCAGGTTATACCTGAAACATGGAAAGCAACATGCT